GGGGGGGGGCGAAGCTTGAGAAGGAGCGACCGAAGGCTGTTCGTGCGTGTTGCCATGGGGCGCGGCGGGGAGTGACTCAGCGCGCGCAACCGCGCCCACCGGACGTCGACCAACCGTTGGCATCAAGTCATCGGCGCGTGTTCGCCCGGAGCCATGCGCGGCTGCGTCGTTGCCGGCGCCGGCGGGCCCCCCTGGGGGAGGCGGGGGGGGGACAAGGAGACGCCTGGGCCTCGTCGTGCGCCGCCGCCTGTCGCACTGGGGCGCGGGCTCTTTCCGGGGAGCGGGGCTGGGGGAAGCATGCGCGCGCATCGGCGGGGTTGGGTGGGTTCCGGGCCTCCCCCGCCGTCGCCCCTGGCCCGGGGGGGGGGGGGGGCAGTGGATCCGACCGGGGCGTCCGACGGTTGGGCCCCACAAGGCCGGAGATGCGGTTGGGCCGTGGCATGCCGTCTTGAGGCCGCGCGACGCGCCGATGGTAAGGCTGACGGGAGACCGTGCGCCGGAGAGCCAGCTCTCCGGCGCCCGGGCAGCGCCACATGCCGGCGCGCCCGCGGGTCCGCTCCTCGCCCGGCGCGTTTACCCCGGGGGACTAGCCGACGTTATGACCGGGCCCGGGAGGGCAGGCTGGGGGGCCGGGAGACGCCCGGTTTCCGCCCTGGCCGGGGGGCGATGTGTCCGGTCCGGCTGGGCAACAACGGACCTCGATGCGCGAATCCGGCCGCGCGCGCGCCGGCACCCACGGCCGGGGGGCGGGGGGGGGGGCGGGGGCATTCTTGGCTCGACCATGGCGGCACATATGGATGTGTGCCCGGGGTAGCGGCCGCTGCCGGGCCCCAGCTGCCAGGCCCCCCACCGCCCCCGGTCAACCGGCGTCGGGCCTCGGATGGAGCCGCGCGTCCCGGGGGCGGCACAGGCGGCTGGGGCGGGGGAGGCGCGCGCCGGCGCGGGAGAAGGGAACACCAGCCGACGGGGGGCGGAGGGGGCAGGGGGGGGGGGGACAGGGGTATGCGCCCCATGCAGCCCCAGGAGAGAATGCCTGGACGGGGGGCTGCCAGGGGCTGCGGGTTCGGGGCTGCATGCCATTCGTGCGCAGCCCCGGACCCGCTGCCCGAAGGCACGCCCCCACCTGCTGGGGCATTGCCTCATCGGCCGGCCCGGCCCGGCCGGGCTCCGGTGCGTGTCTGAGAGCCCTGCCCGAGAATGTCCCTCCCGGCTGGGGCCCAGCCGTGAGGAAGCGGGCGCGTGTGTGATGATCCTCCCCCCCCTCCCCCCCTGCCAACGGGGGCCGCCGGTGGTGCCGGCCCGCAGCGAACACGCGCGCCTCCGTTCGCCTTCTCGGTGTGGCGCGGTGGGCAAGTGGGCAGGAGCCTGACCTGGCGCGTGCACGCGCCCACACTTCCCGTCCGCCCGTCCGCCCGCCTGCCCACTCGGTCGTCGGGCTGGGCACCTCCGAAGTCAGGGCCGAAGGTGTGGCCCCCTGCGCGCGCGGCCGGCGGCCCCGCCCCCCCCCCCCCGCCCGGTGCCCCCAGCATGCCCGACGGGGTCCGCGCCCGTGCGAGGGGCGAGGCTCTCCTGTTGTTGATGCACGAGCCGGGCCCGCGACACTCATATGTGTGCGAGCGCGCGCGCGCGCGCGCACAGCGTCGCCTCCAGCACTGGCACCATGGGGGCAAACTTTGCCTTCTGCCCCTTGTGTCCTCCGGGCCCCCCTGGCGGAACGACTGTTTCACTCCCTGAAAGTTCCGCCGACCTCCGCACGGAGCGGGGAGCCGGCCGGCGCCACGGAGCATATGTTCTCGCCCGCGTTGGTGGCCGGCTGGTGGCCCGGCTCGCCGCACCCCTCCAGGGGCAAGTGCGCCCGCCCCTCCCCGGTTCGTTGCCCCTGCTCCGCGCTGGGTCATCTCGCCCTCCGGCGTGAGGGGCCGTCGTGCTGATTCCGGCGTTGGGGCGGACGTCGCGCGTCTGACTCTCTCTCCCCCTCGCTCGAGCTCGAGCTCCGGCTTCTCGAGAGGGGTGGGCTCTCCTCTCGCGCGGGGTAATGGGACAGGGGCGGCCGGCCGCCCCTCGTGGGGTTGATCTCCGGAGCAGCCCGACTCGCGTCGATGGGTCATCCTGTGTGTGTGTCCCTGGACTCCCCCCGCTGCATGGTCGGCCGTGGGAGGGGGTGGGGGCGGGGCCGAGTCGGGTGCACCATCTGACGCCCCCGCCCGGTGCCGCCGCCCCCTCGCCTTACGCCTTCCCTTTGGGTGTCGGTCGTCCCGGCGGGGTCCCATACGCCGGGCAGGAGGAGGGGGGGGGGGGGGGCCAGGACATCGGACACCTGGCGAGGGCGGAGCCCGCGCGGCGACCGACACCGCCCGGCCGGTCGGGCCCTTGCCCCCGCCCTCCCGGGCCGAATGGAACACGCCTCGTGCCGGCGCCACGGGCAGGCTCACCCGGGGATCCCGGTGACCAGCTACAGCGCGAGGAGGGGGATGCCCCATGCTTGTGCGGTCCATTCCGGCCGCCGCCGCCGCCGGGCTGCCCGCCCCCTGCCTGCTGCTCGCGGCCCATATGATGGTCGTTGCTCGAAGCGGAAAGACGCGCCGCTGTGTGGTGCCCGGTCCCGACTGCCCCCGTCCCCCCGCCGGAGAACATGGTCGTGCTCATGTCGGCACTCGGGCGCCTGCCCGCCGGGCCTCCATCCCCCGGTGCCCCCGAGGCCGACCCCGAGCGCGTGTGACCGGCATGAGTTATTTCTCCAGGGACCAGCCGGCTCCCATGCCCCTGGATGCACCGATATTGAGGTGGGAAGGCGTGCCCCTTCCCCCCCCCCGGGAGCCGGAGGGTCGATCACTTCCCGGAACGTGCGCTCCCCCTGGGGGGCATCCCACATTGGGAGAGGCGACCCGGGGGCGGGTGGCGCGTGCTCTTGCATACCTGCCGGCCCCCACCTGCCCCCTTTTGCTGGCGTGCGCGCGATGCCTGCCAGATGCTTCTGCCTTTCTCGCCGGCTCCCAGGGTACTCTGCCGGCTCCTGGGTGTGCTTCGCCCCCGAACAGAGCGAGAGAGACATACACAAGTTTTGATGCATCGTTTCTCCCCTCCCCCCCCCTCCCCCCGTGCGCCCCCCTGTCCTGCTCGCATGCCTGGAACCCACTCGGCCGGGCAGGCAGGGGCAGGGACATCAAATGACCCATTGCGTATGCCCCTTTCTGTCTGGGCGGGGCAGGGGGGCCGGTCTGTGTCGCTGGTGGCGACCGCCCCGGAGATCTCCCGGCGCTTAAACGTGTGTGCGCGCTTATGCATGTGCCGTGAGCCGTGAGCCGTGAGCCGTGTGGGTGGGTGGGTGCGCGCGCGTCCGGGAACGGTGCTGCCTGGCGACGATCGCCAGGCCCTTCGGGGGCGGATGGGGGTCGGTCAGGCGCGGCGCCGAGGTGGCGCGGCTGCCGCCGAGGGCGTGTTGCCGCCAAGTTGCTCCTCGTCCCCCGTCGCCGGTGCCTCCCCCCCCCCCCGGGGGGGGGGGGGGGGGGCGGCCGAGGGGATATATATCCGTGGGCGTTGCGCGGCCAGTTCCCAACATCCCGGCAGACCCCCTTTTCTCCCCTCGCTCAAACTCCCCCTCCCTCCCCCCCCCCGAGTGAGAAGCCATGTCCTCCATCCTCCCCATCCACAACAACGAGTCGGCCTCGGCCACCACCACCTCCTCTTCCAAGAGCCCCCTCCGCACCATCGCCTCGGCCCTCATGCTGCTGGTCTTTGTCGGTGTTGTCGGCTTTGTGGGCTTCGCCAACTTCGGTACGGCCTCTGCCGCCCCGGTCGCCGCCTCCCTCTCGACCGCCTCCGCTCGCTCCGTGAGCAGCAACCGGCCCACCGCCCCGGTGTGCGACAAGCTCGGCCTCTACGATTGCCGCTGCCCCGACGGCTACATGCCCTCCCGCGACACCGCCACCTGCCAGAAGATCGTCTGCCCGGAGTACTTCGATGCCACCTCCGGCATCTACGTCAACCGCGTCGGCGAGGCGGCCTTCGACAACCTCCCGGAGAGCTCCCCCTCCGTCCAGGTCCAGGGCTTCCGCATCTCCGGACCCGCTCCCGGGCCGATCACCGCTACCTGCTCTCGCGACGGCCGGTGGGTCTTCTAAGGGGGGCAGATGGGCACCATATCATCCCCTCCTTCCTACCCCGTATCCCGTCCCCTCTCCGGTTCTCGGCGCCCTGTTCCTCCTCCCCGCTGCCAGCCGGTTGTCCTTGAGTATCTCCCCCCATCGGTATCCGCCTCCCCTGTGAGCTCGTGACCCGCCACGCCACCCCCCCCCCCTGCCACCCAGTTCCCCCCCGGCAGCCCTTCCCTGGCCGTGTGTGCTGTGTCCCCCCCCCGTCGCTCCCTCTCTCTGTCTATATTTCTGGCCTGTTTCAGTGAACCCCTGTCCCCCGCCCGCCGCAGCGTACCATTGTGTTTCGGCGCGTCGAGGACTTGCTTGTGTGTCCTGGCAGAGCCGCCCCGAAAATCCCCAAAATAGATTCATGCTCACACACACACACACCACACGTGTGGTGTCTGTGTGTGTGTGTCTGATCAGCCTAAAAAAGCCCCTTGTCGTGTTCTTCTTCCTTTTGCGCCTTTTGTGTTTCTCTTCTTCTTCTTCTCTCTCTCTCTCTTTCTCTGCTGAGGTGCATTGGGTGTGTGGAGCTTCTCCTTGTCCGTCCGTCTGTCAAGATGTGCACACGTGTGCATGTGCCTGGCACATCTCCCCCATTTTCGTGTCGAAACCCGCGGTGGTCTTGCCTCCATATGCGTGGATGTGTCTCCGCATGTGCTCGGGTACTCCGGGTTTCCACGCAACACGAAGGATGACACGGGAGCCTGCCGTGAGAGGGAGAGTATATTCGGTCGTCCTCCCTGCCCCCCGTTCCCCAGGAAGCCAAGCACAGCTCCGGGGAGGGGGGGGGAGGAGGGGGGAGGGAGGGGCGAGGGGCAAGAGAATGCACCCTCAGAGCGTGTCGGCTGGACGCATTTCCGCGTCTTCCGAAGCAGAGAGACGCGCACGCAGGTCCTCCTGGATGCGTGCCAGTTCGATCACCGGGAGTGGAGCATGTGCAGGACCCGAAGCACCGGGCGCCTGTCGGGGGGTTTTGCTCAGAGCCACGCGCAGCCGCGCCAGGTCCGACTCGACTAGGGAAAGCAATTCCCGAGCACCGCGTTGGGCAATTGGCCATGTCAGCACATTGGCGCGCATGTGTGTGTGTGTGTGTGTGTGTGTGTGTGTGTGTGCGTGTGTGTGTGTGTGTGTGTGTGTGTGTGTGCGTGTGTGCGCGTGCCCATGCATGTGTGTGCGCGCGCCCATGCATGTGTGTGCGCGCGCCCATGCATGTGTGCGCGCGAGGGAGGGCCGAGGACATCAAGCGGTCATGGGAAGCACAGCTCGTACCGAGAACACCCCGACGATTGGCCGCCTCAATCAGCAGCCAGGCGGACAGGTGGAGGATCAGGGTCAACGGCCGATGGGAGTGATGCGAGTCGATGGCTCCGAGGGCCGACTCCACAGCCTCCGGGCAATCCAGCCCAGCCCCGAGCATGGCCGTTGCCAAGCCCAAGGCAGCCGTGTGCACCGACAATGGCCAATGCGAGCCCGGCAGCGCCTGGCGCGGGAGATCGCCCGACGCGTCTGGCGAGTCGCCGGAGGCCATGGCCGTCACCACCGCCACCGGGAAGTGGCAAGAGGCCAGGATCGTCCGGACGACCCAGCGCAGGGCCGCCAGCTCAGATGGCTCAATTGCCGCCATCTCCGCCGAAGGACCGAGGAGATTCAGCGCATGGGCACATACCTGCAGAGCCTCCGACAAAATGAGCACCGCCGGGGTCGACCGAGCTCCATGCTGCTGGGCCGATGCCGGCCGACCAAGCTGGCCACTTTCGGCTGTTGTCGTGGGGACAACACAGCGGGGCATGGCAAGGGCCCGGGTTAGTGATATTGGCGGAGGACCGGGCCGCAGGCCGTAGGTCGCGTCACAGGCCGGAAGCACAGGGTACATACCAACCGGCCCAATCAGGTGCACGCAAGTGGCCAGCGTCGGGCCGAGTGCCAGGGCGGCCAATTCCCCGCGCAGGGACTCGGCCTGCAGGTGGCCCAAGCCGCGGAGGACATGTAGAAGCCCGGCAACCAGTGGCCCGGTCTGCTGAGCAGCCGGGCCGGACCAGTGGACACCGGCAAGGCGGCTGACATCCACCAGGGGGAAGCGCTGGGCCAACTCGCTGGCAAAGAGCTGTTCCAGGGGCAGAGAGGAGAGAGGGGGGGGGGGGGGCGAGCGGAGGTCAGCCATAGGAAACACTTGACATGGCAGGCGGCGGAGCATGTCAAGATGGGCTGGCCTCGGACCTCGACGCCAGACCGCAGAGGCACGGTCAGCTCATCCTCGGGGCTTGTGGCCCCGGAGCGACACAGGTACTCTGGGAGCATGGATGCATATGAGGGCAGGCGCACGCGCGAAGCAGATGGCCCAACCAAGTCCGTCGGCCAGGGGAGAGGCAGGGGCCAAGACAATGCGTCGATTAGAATGTGCGAGTGAGGTTCAGGCGGCTCGGAGGCGAAGCGCACCGAGAGACCGACCCAGCAGGTCAAGGGCCTGCGGTCGGCCAGGCCACCAGGCCTGCGCAATGCCGGGCGCCGAGGCCGCCCCTGCTGGTGAGGGCGAGCCGGAGGTCAAGATGCCCACCAACATGGGGATGACATGTCGCGCCAGCTCCTTGGCCGGGAGCCCGGTCTCGAGGGGCATGGAGGCCGATGCCGGGGCGCCACCCATGCCGAGAGATTGGCTGAGCGAGGTCAGGGCTCGGACCAGGGTCTGTCGCGCGGTCCATGACCGCACCGGGCCCAGGGCGCTGATCGTCCGGTAGAGGCCCGGGGCCAGGCGCCGGGCCGACCCGCCATTCAGCACTGTGTCCCGGCCACAGGAGGGGAAGGACGGCAAGGATGGGAAAGAGAGAGAGAGAGAGAGAGGGATGGTCAGAGGATGGGGGAAAGAAATGCGGTGGCAAATGCCGGACGACCAAGCGCAAAGCAGGACCCGCATGCATCACACGGCTGCCGGGCGAAGGGGGCAAAAGAAAAGCAGGGCCACACGCACATGCGCCCACAGCATCGTCCCAGATCCCGCGCCAAAGGTGGCCAACATGGCCACCCTCATGGGCTCCCAGGAAGACCGTCGACAGGAAGACCGCCTCGGCGGAGTCGGCTTCGCTGGCGGGTTCGCCACGCCCGGCGAAGGTTTCCCGGCCGCCCACCAGCAGCCGCATGACGGCCTGGCGACCGAAGCGCATCAAGTCCCGACAGAAGAGGGCACAGGCGGCCGCCGGCGAGGGATCACGCTCGGCCACCTCCTCCGGGGCCTGTTGCCCGGCGGTGGCAGCCGCCGCGGCGGCCGCGGCCGCACCCGGCTCGGCTGGGATGTCAAAGGAGGAGAGGTACACTCGGCGAATGTGCCGGGCCAGGCTCCACATCACTCGTGCCGGGGAGGACTCGCCGGCGGGGATGGGCCTGAGAGCTGGCTGATGCAGCAGCGATGCACACAGGGCCAGGGCCACACCCATTGACCGGCGGATGGCCGCCTGCTCGGTGGTCAGGGACCCGACGTACGAGGCCCCGGGGCTGGCCCGAGCAAGAGCCACCGCCGACAGGGGCTTCATGAGGGCCGGCACATGTGGGCCAAGCAGGGCAGGGTACTGTGTTCGAAAGGGGTCAGACTCACGGAGCGACACCGGTGCCTGTGGCAGCAAGGGCACACACACGCATGCCCGCCGGGAGGGAGGCAGGTGGCGAGGGGAGGAGGCAAGCAAACAAGCAAACAAGCAAACAAACAGGCAGGCAGTCCCGGCCCATACCTTGAGGCAAATGTTGGCAATAAGCTGGCTGGCGCCACAGCGTGCCGGGACGCCAATGCCCCCGCGCACAATCTCCCCAAGGGAGGCGACCCATTCGCGCACAACGCCCCTCCGCTGGGGGTCATCGCTGAAGCTCCCGAGGATGGCCACCGCACACACCTGCGCCGCTTGCATGGCGGTCGATGATCCAACCGCCTTCAGGCGCTGGTCAAGCAGGCGCTCGGCCGACAGATCCTCGGACAGCAGGCCCGACAGCATATCGCCGAACAGGGCACCCGAGGGGTCGCGCGAGGGGGCGGGCGCCGAGGCTCTCGCCGTATGGGCTCCCCCCCCGGAGGGGGACCCGGGCGCGCCTCCGAGTCCCGACCCGGACCCTGCCTCATTGTAGAGGGAATACTCATCGGTGCCCGGACGTCCGGCATGGAAGGCCGCAAAGGTGGCCAGCGGGGTCTCCATGGCAGACATGGAGTTTAGCAGGCCCCCGCAGATGGCCGGCGCCAGTTCCAGCAGGAGATCCCCCAGTCGCCCGACCAGGGCCTCGTGCATTTGCCCCTCCGGCGCAAAGGGCGCGTAGACCTTGCTCAGGAAGATGTGGCACTGTCCGCGTGCGCTCTGGGGGCAAAGGTCGCTGATGGCCAGCTTTGGGCATGGCAAGAAGGGGCAGGAAAGAAAAAGAACAGCCGCGAGTCAGTGAAGGGCACAGGACGGGGCGCCGACCGAGTTTTCGGGTCCCCCCCTGCTTGGCCGCGCGTTTCGACACCGGCACGTACAATCTGGACTGCACCGAGGACGGCAACGCGCGACAGGGACAGGCGCTGCTCCTCGGAAATGTCACACGCTTCAGGCGCATCGGCCGGCGCCCGGGTCAGGAGGATGTCCCGATGGCAGAATTGCAGTGTCGTGGACACCAGTGACTCGGCCTCAACCGCGTGCGGGCCATCACACAGCGAGGCCGCGGAAGACAGCAGGGACAGGAGTGCCTCATCAGCTAGCCGGGTGGAGAGACTCCCCAGAGCCACCGGCGGCTGCTGCGATTGCGGCTGCTGCTGTGGCTGCTGCTGGTGGTGGTGATCGACGAAGAAGACGCGCAACTCGGCCGAGCTCGGCAGCGGCGGTCCGAACCCCGGCGGGAAGAGGGGAATATTGCGCTGGAGGCCCGACCGGTCTGAGAGAGCCGATCGAAGAGTCCGCAAGGCGGCCACCTGCCACTGGCCATCGGCCAGGCTTCCTCGGGAGTAGATATCAATCAGTCGTAGCTGCGAGCGGGGTAAATAGACATAAATAGAAATACGCATATATCGGTGTGTGTATGTATGTGTGTGTGTGTGTGTGTGTGTGTGTGTGTGTGTGGATGGGTGAGACGGAGGGCGCGCGAGGGGGGACGAGAGGTCAGGCGGGCATGAGCACGATGGAGGCATGCGTGTGAAGGGAAAAGCAGGAAGGGCGGAAAGCGCAAGCCCGGGCAAGGTGGCGGCAGAAGGATACCACGCACTGCCTGGTGCATGACCGCGGCCACGGTCCGCCGGCGGAGGGCGGCCACCGCGTCCGGGGCCCAGGCAGTCACACCCTCGCCCGGGGTCAAGGCCTTCATGATGGATGCCCACAGGGCTCGCGCAACCGAGCCAATATCCTCACGGGGGGCTGGGGGGTCTTCCGAGCCGGCGCCGGTGTCCGGAAGATCGCCGGCACCAGGCCCCGACGGGTCATTCATCTGCCCAAGTAGCTCGCTAAGCCCCGGGAGCAGGGCGGCCAGGGGGTTGTCACGGCCCTGATTGGCAAAGAGCTGGCGGACCGTCCGGTCGAAGCCGTACGACACGCTCGGCGGCCTGGTGTGGCACAGGACAAACAGCGGCACCAGCGCCATCGAGTCCATCTCGCCCGAGCCCGGTGGCCCCGGGCGACAGGGATGACACGCGGCCAGCTTCCAAAGGCGTGGGGATATGTCAGGACATGGGCCATCGTCAGGGGGCAAAGGGAGGCAGGGCAAGGCAGGAGGCCAGGCGCACAGCACCAATGACAGCGCCCTGAAGGAGCTGGTTGCCCGAGGAGTCGACCGGCACGGCCAACTGCAGGGTGTCGGACCCTGCGCACCCGCCGGCAATGGCACCGAGGAGCAGCCGACCGAGAACCGGTTCGAAGTGGGTCATGCCATGTTCCTGCACCAGGAACAGGCACACCGCGCGCATGGCCAGGAAGGAGGCCGGCGGGGGGCCCATCCCGGCGGCGGCCGTCGACCCCAGCAAGACCGACAGGGCACCGGCTCCGGTTTGGGCGTCGCGCGCGCCGGCCGCCCGGCGCCCGGCAGCCCGCAGGACACCGGACACCGGCACGCCGCCGGTTTGGCCGCCGAGGATCGTATACACCGACCGCATGGCCGAGTCCAAGGTCAGCAGCATGGCCCCAAAGGGCTCGGTACCCTGGAGGTTGGCAACCAATTCACGCAGCCCGCAAAGGGCATACACCGCACACACGGAGGAGGCGCCTGGATGGTGGTATGTTAGGAGAGCCGCGATCGAGCAAAGGGAAGGACGCAAAGCAGGAGAGGACCCTGCAGCCGGGCGGAATAGGCTCCCCCGCTGCCCCCCCCCCCCCCCCCCCCCCCCCCCCCCCCCCCCCCCCCCCCCCCCCCCCCCACCGCAGAAACAACATCGAGGTGTCCGATGACCCGAACCCCCCCCCCCCCCCCCCCCCCCCCCCCCCCCTCTGGCCACTTGACATACCGCCATAGTTCCGGACAACAGCCACCAGCAGGTGACAAAAGCGCTCCAGAGCGCTCGGGCTGAAGACAGACGCCAGGGCCGCACTGCTGGACTGCCGGCAGAGACTGGCCATGGCGTCCGGCCGAGCGCGCCATAGCGAGGCCGTCAACGCAGCCCCGGTCAGGGCCAAGCCGGCCGCAGCACTGGCCGCCTTCTCGTGACTGAACCCCATGGCCGAGGGATCGGTCATGGCGGAAATGGCAGAAAGCAGTGCATCGAAGTGCTCGCGGCGGCGGCCCGCATCGGCGACCGGGGCATCCGGCACAAGGATACCGGCCCAGGCCCGCGCACAGGCAGCCTTACGACCAGGTGAGGGGTGGGGGGGGGGGGAGGAGCCAATGTCAATGCCAGTCTTGGGGGAAGGCCCGGAAAATGAATAGTGCCAGGCAGGGGAGGACAGGTGCCGGCAGCATGCGTACCGACAGGTCCAACGACCGGTCCGGCGAGGGAAGCAGCGCAGAGATGGCTGCCTGAAGCAGATTGGCGCCGGAGGGACCGTCGGCATGCAGGGACAAGGCCACGCGCGCCAGACACTGAACTGACAGCAGTTGAAGCTAGTCCCAGGCCGGAGACGAAAAGGCCACCGGGGAAAGGCAGGCAACAGGAAGACCAAAGAGAAGTGGGCCAGGGTTAGAGACATGTTGGAGTGGATGAGCGAAGGAGATAGAAAGTGCACAGGGCGCCCCCCCCCCCCCCCCGCCCATTTCCTGCCAGTCCTCCGCGCGTACTCGGGAATCAATGGTGTCTGGCTGGGCTGTGGCCAGGGCGATCAGCTCGCGGCCGATGTCGGCCAGTGGGCCTGCAAAGTCCTCGGCAAGGTCCAGGCGATGCAAAACATCCCCAATGGCGGCGGCCAGCTGGCAGGCAGTCGCCTTGATCAGAGGGTAGCTGCGTGGCAAGCGCAAGATATGCAAGCAGGCGCGCAGGGCCAAATCCACAGCCTGAGCCAGATCGGAGCCGCCGAGCCCGGCCAACTGGCCGGACTTCGGATCGGCCATCATGCGGCCGAGCATGGCAAAGTACGACTGCAGCAGCGACAAATGGACATACCCCTGCGTGGAGGGCAGGGCCCGGCCATCGCCCACCTTCTGGGCATACTCATCCAACGCGCGGGCCGAGTCCAGGTACAAAACCGATCCTGGCAGGTAGACGGCCAGGCTGCCAGCTGCTTGTGCCACGGTGCCGCGGACGGCCATATCCCGCGATTGCAGGGCATAGCGCTGTGCACGCATGTCAGCAGCCGAGAAGGAGGACCGAGTGTTAATCATCAAAAGATACATAGTGACGAGTCAGAAAGCGGGGATGTGTGTCTGTCGGTGTGGGTGTATGTCTAGGGGAGGAGAGGGAGGAGAATAGGGAGAGGAAGAGGAACAGGGAGAGGAAGGGGAACAGGGAGAGGAAGGGGAATAGGGAGAGGAAGGGGAACAGGGAGAGGAAGGGGAATAGGGAGAGGAAGGGGAATAGGGAGAGGAAGAGGAATAGGGAGAGGAAGAGGACGAGAGAAAGAGAGAAAGAGAGAAAGAGAGAAGGAGAGAAAGAGAGAAGGAGAGAA